CCTATCTAAATAAGGGTCGTCGGACGCACCTCTCCGAGGGGGTGCGTACTACAAAAAATCTGATTAGTCTGAAAGGTGTCTCCCTTTAATTAGGAATCGACGAGTCCAAGCTGTTTTAAAAAATCTCACTTTTTATATTCAAAAACGGCTCTGTTATGTTTTCGTTGTTACACACTGTATAAGAATCTACATCTCAAGTTTGGTTTCGAAGGAAACAAACTATTACAAGCAACATCATATGATACGGAATTACCAAAACCTAATAAAAATCTAAAAATATTGAAAAAAAAACAATATACGACTGTTACAAAAGCAATGAGATTCCTTCAACTGAAATCATAAAGAAGAAATTGAATACTTCCTGTCAAAACGTGAGCTGCTGTGACAAAACTCATCAGAATTGGATAAAGAAACTAAGATTTAGATTTAATACAATAAACAAACGTCAAGCAGTGATGGAAATCAGAAAAATAGTGGAATTGCGTAACAAGTACTTGGAACAAATAAATAAATATAGACAAGAACAACGGCAAATTTTCTATTTGGACGAAACTTGGTATGACACTCACGGCACAGTTACAAAAGGATGGACTAATGGTTCGAGAATGTGTACGCCTAACATACCTGCAAACAAAGGATCGCGACTAATCATTGTGCATTGCGGAGGAAGTAGAGGATGGGTTTCGAATTACTTGAAATTATGTGAAAAAAAACTTGAGAACTGCAATATTGACTATCATAAGAACACAGACGCTAAAATTTTCGAGGTATGGTTTGAAAACTCATTGATCCCAAATTTGCATGGGAATAGTGACATAGTTCTTGACAACACTTCCTATCATTCGCGTCAGCTCATCGAAGTACCGAATCAAAATTCGAGGAGAGTTTTTATTGGATAATAATTTGTATTTTGGAGATTACTATACCAAAAACCAACTACTTGAAGTTTTACAGACAAAAACATTAAAAAAAGTGTATGTCCTTGAGAGTATTGCTGAAAANTTGAGGAAAAGTTGTACGAGAAAATTTTCCACTGACCCAAGTTCGTTCCCTGATGAAGCCAACTTGGTTGGTGATACGCGAATCGTTACATTTTTTGTGTTTGGTAGCAGATGTATCAATTCTACTTCTCACAAATATTTTACTTGAAAATTAAACCAATCATTGATGTTTTTTCAATACACGCCAGAATGTTCAAAACAATTATTTTTGATAAGGGATGTAGAAAAAATGTCATAAACATTCATCAGAGGAGATTATCTCAGGCGTTTCTCTTAATGTGAGAGTATGCTATTTCGTATTACTCGTGAAAGAGAATGCAACATGCAACTGAAAGACAAGATCGAAAAATTAATGATTGGATAAGAAGCAGCATGAAGTAGTAAATCGTTTATTGAGAGAGAAATATGTCAACATGGTAGAAAAACAGATCGACATCGACCAGACTGAAATAATCAAGCTCAATGTACTATTAGCTGTTGGCGTCACCAGGAGACGAACTAGATCATTTCATATTTTAAACTTTGCCTGTTCCCACCAATAATTAACTCGATTAACGAATATAATAAACCCTTCACGCCCATGTACAAGGTTCTACCTTCAATGGGGATTCTCCCTCTTTATTTGACAATTAACTTATATTAATATTAATTCCATTGTATATTGATCACATAAAGTTTATTATTATTATTCAAATTGAAATGACGGGGTTTTTCACCAAACAGTGATAAAATAATTCATTCGTTTGATTTTTCTTGTTTGAATATGATGTTGATTCTGAGAACAAAAAAGACAAAAACAGTTGGAGTGACATACACTCGTATATGCAAAAATGAAAGAGAAAATTTCGAAAGAAAACTTCAACTGAAATCATAAAGAAGAAATTGAATACTTCCGGTCAAAACGTGAGCTGCTGTGACAAAACTCCTCAGAATTGAATAAAGAAACTAAGATTTAGATTTAAAACAATAAACAAACAGAAAAATAGTGGAATTGCGTAACAAGTACTTGGAACAAATAACTAAATATAGACAAGAACAACGGCAAATTTTCTATTTGGACGAAACTTGGTATGACACTCACGGCACAGTTACGAAAGGATGGACTAATGGTTCGAGAATGTGTACGCCTAACATACCTGCAAACAAAGGATCGCGACTAATCATTGTGCATTGCGGAGGAAGTAGAGTATGGGTTTCGGATTACTTGAAATTATGTAAAAAAAACTTGAGAACTGCAATATTGACTATCATAAGAACACAGACGCTAAAATTTTCGAGGTATGATTTGAAAACACATTGATCCCAAATTTGCATGGGAATAATGACATAGTTCTTGACAACACTTCCTATCATTCGCGTCAGCTCATCGAAGTACCGAATCAAAATTCGAGGAGAGATGAAATACAAAGTTTTTATTGGATAATAATTTGTATTTTGGAGATTACTATACCAAAAACCAACTACTTGAAGTTTTACAGACAAAAACATTAAAAAAACGGTATGCCCTTGAGAGTATTGCTGAAAAGTATGGACACACCATATTGAGACTTCCTTCTTTTTTGTGTTCTCCATTCCATCGAGTTGATTTGGAGAAAATTAAAACGAAGCATCATGTGTTAAAATAATTTTTCAAAGTTCCACTCGAATGAAATGAATAAAAACACTTCTGTCTAAATAACCATTGGTAAATTTCATTTTTACGACCGGTTTTAGGTTTGACCCCATTATTAAGTATAAAACTGTTTTCACTTGATAATGGGGTCGAACCCGAAACCGGTCGTATAAATAAAATGTACCAGTGGTTATTTGGACAGAAGTGTTTTTATTCATTTTATTTGAGTGATCATGAATTACCATAAAGTAAACAAGTCATCAATCACACATATTTCCTACATTTGATAAGAAGATAATAGAGCTAATTAAAGAAGAAGTATCTAATATTATCGAAAAAGTCTGGCAGAAAAGGATTAAAAAATAATTTCAGTTGAAAAAGACTAAATGGAGACTAGACACTTCAATGGTAATGGTGGAAATGAATTTATTATTGATTCAAATACTTGTGATGCACTGTTTAGAACCTTCGACGTAGTAATAAATATTACTGGAGTTTTATCCCAACACTAAACCGTTATTTTAACACCTCGACACGTGTTTCGATCACCAAGTGATCATCTTCAAAAGGATGAATAAATTGGTGATCGAAACACGAATCGAGGTGTTGAAATAACGGTTTGTTGTTGGGAAAAAACTAATATTCATCGACAGAGACAAATCTCCAATCTTTCATTGAATGTTCCAGACTTTCAAGGTTGCAAGGGATGTTCGCGTCTCCAATCAGACGGATGGCTCTTTTCGGGATGGGATCCAGCAGCTTCAGGGGATGCTTAGGGGCGGAGCTTCATACATTAGAACAATACTCCAAAGAAGGTCTAATCTGAGCTTATAAGCCATCAAAAGTGTATACATTTTTCTGGTTCAGAACAGTTTTTCAAGCTTTGGAGAAGCAGCCTTTGCAATTATAGCGACATGATTGTGCCAAGACATATTAAATAACTCAAGCTTTTTTATATTTCCAATTACTGAATGGGAACTCACACAAATGATTAACAGATTGAAAAACTCTAACTCCACTGGGATTGATGGAATCTCCAATAAAATAATGAAAATTTGCTCTAATGAACTATGTGGTGTCCTGACCTTTTTAATTAATCTCTCAAGGGATCTTTTCCACCAATATTAAACTTGCTAGTGTATCTCCTATTTTTAAAAAAGGTGATCCTAACAATATGGATAACTATAGAGCAATTAGTATTCTTTCCAGTATCTCTAAACTTTATGAAATTAATATAAAAGAACAATTGGAATCCTATTTCATAGCAAATAACTTGTTATCGCCCTCACAACACGGGTTAACTAAGAAAAAAGTACTGATACGGCACTGTGTGAATTTATAAATCGAATAGTGAGTGCTCGAGACAAAAAGAAATGTGTTTTAGGATTATTTATTGACTTTCCACGGGCTTTCAATTGTGTGAACCATAATCTTTTGCTGGACAAACTTTCAAGATATGGTGTAAGAGGAATACCCCTATCCTTACTAAACTCATACTTATATAAGATAAGACAAGTAGTCAAAGTTGGAAAAAGTCTAAGTACTGGAAGAAATATTGAGGATGGGGTACCACTGGGATCCATTCTCGGACCCTTCTTGTATTTAGCTTTTGCCAATGACTTGTCAGTGTACCTAAATGAGAACTCGGCCATTCACTGTACGTGTTATGCTGATGATACTAATATATTAATTATTGAAAACGATATGGACTCCGCGAAAAACACAGCTCTAGAGACCTACAAAAAAGTTATTATGTGGTCAAAGNTTAGTGCGGCAATCCGGTATGATTTTGAGATTCGAGAGTAGAGAAGACATCATTCCACCAAAGACTCCAATAATCAGAACGACCATCTTGACAGAGTGATCTGGATAGAGTCTGCGGAGTTCGAAGAGAAAATTATTATTATTATTATTATTATTAGTGTCCATTTTAAGCTCTAACATCGGAGCAGAACCTGACATCATTATATCCGGTTCGGAGACATTCATCTTTTTAAAGAAAACCGATACTCGGGTTTTTGTGATATTCAATTGAACCTCATTTTCAACCCAATCCGGAATTACTCATATATCCTCATTAGGATATGCAACCTCCTGTTGCCGGTGAAGATGTGCATCCGCAGCCGTTGTCCTGGAATCTAAATGGAAAGACGATAGAAGTGTGCTGTCGTCAGCAAAACAATATATACAATATTGGATTCTTGGTTTTTGTCAATAAGTCGTTGATATACAATAAAAAGAAGGTTGGAAAGAGTATGGATCCCTGGGGAACACCAGCGTTGATGGTGTATAGTATACAATAAGAAACCTATTTTCTGCAAATGAATAGAAATCGAATGACACCTGAAATATCTTTAGGTGAAAGTAGAATAACTGTGAATACTCACCCAACAAAGAAAGGTTAAATTGAGGATGCTTAGAGCGTCAGATGTGTCTAGAAATGATTTTCTCGAATAAATTTCTTTCATCAAGTACTTCACAATTTTAGTTCAGTCCACAAGTATCATTTGACTGATTATTTCAATAAAAAATCGATCAGACATGCAGATTACCCGAGAAAATAATTGCTTGAAGATAATACTATCGGAACAATTAGGAGCATCATATCATTAAAATCAATTGTGGATTTTAGATAATTATTAGAATATTATCGATTGTGTTTCGATGTGTCGTAACATTGTGGGCAAAAATATAAAAAAAACAGTTTAGTTTCTTTCTGGGGGTTTGGGTGCACACTCATTTCGAATTATTATCTGAAAGTCATTATTATATAATGATAATAATAATAATAATAATTCCACGGCAGGGAGGCCATGGATTTTTGAGTTTGGAGTGTCTACATGACAGAATGGTACTGGATACAGCCTGTAAAGTCGTCAGGAGTTCAGATCCCCTTCTCTGCATGGGCCGCGACCATTAGAGAGCAGGAATTGGAGCATTTCTCCTTAGGGCAGCTGCTCGAGCAGCTGATGAACTCGGTTTAGTTTTTCGACACTGAACGAGGTGACCACAACTCTGTCACCGAGTTGGAACCCGTTCAGCAAAAAGCTCAGATAAAAGCCTCAGAGATCACCTTACTTCTGCGGAAAAACAAGGATAAGCCGATGCATGGGGTCTTCTTCAATAACATTGGAGACTTTGGCTTATCAAAGCGCCTGACGTTCGCTTTTCTCAGGTCGAGTGGGCTGAAGTCGGAAACTGAGGGGTTCATCATGGCTTGCCAGGATGGTGTCTTCAACACCTTAGTCTACCGCAGTCGCGTGATGGGTATAGAGGTTCCTGACACAAGGTGCAGGGCCTGCCGCGAGGCGCCCGAGACCCTAATGCACTTGCTATCAGCATGTCCAGCATATGCGGTCTCGGCCTATATCCATCGACATAACGCGGCCCTAAGAGTGCTATATTACCATCTACGGCACTCTTACGGTATTGACGAGACACCGGTGTTGCCCTACGCTCCGGGGGATATTGAATCCGTTGTGGGGAACGAGAAGTGCCGAATTTATTGGAACTATTCGTTCCCCACCCTCAGGCTCATACAAGCTAATAAGCCTGATGTAGTCCTTCTCGACCACCAGACCAAAACGATATTTGTCGTGGAGTTTTCAGCTCCTGGCGAGACGAATATCGTCAGAAAAGAGGAGGAAAAACGGATAAAATATCGAGATTTTCTCTTCGAACTCCGCAGACTCTATCCAGATCACTCTGTCAAGATGGTCGTTCTGATTATTGGAGTCCTTGGTGGAATGATGTCTTCTCTACTCTCGAATCTCAAAATCATACCGGCTTGCCGCACTAAGGCAGAAATCTCAGCCGCACAGATGCAGAAGGCTGTCATTCTTGGCTCACTGCGCTTGCTCAGGGCACATGTTTCTCATACCCAATGATCACTTATTCCACGGTGTCGGGAGTGGTCATTGGTTGATAATGCTGGCGCGCCCTCCCGAATGTATCGGGGCTTCGAGGGATAGTGCCAGTGTCAACTACGGTGAATAAAAAATTTATGGTTGTAGCCGTTACTACGAGGTAAGAAATCATAATGAAGAAAAGAAAAATGAACCTTTCTATGTGGTAACAAACATATAAACTTTCTTTTCTCCTTTCTTCATAATAATAATGATAATGTTTATTTATGAAAGCTAAAAATTTTACAATAATTGAAGTACATATATATATTATAAGTGAATAGGGTCAGGTGGTAAACAGTGGCCCAGTTGTAGACAGTGCACCACCACTCATATCCCGAAAACGTAACGTTGCCCAACCGTACTGCAAACGCGAAACAACCTGTCTACAACCACCTCCCGCACTCTCCAGTCGACGGCGGGCTACCGGTCTTAACGGTTCTATAGTTCGTTGTTTTGTCGTTGGAGTCAAGAAAAGTAAGTACACGTGTTTTCATATATTTTCTTCCTAGAATCGTTGTATGAATAGTTACATTATATTGCACTGTTTCCGAGTGTAAAGTAACTATTCCTTGATAACTTAGATATATAAATATCCTTNATTATTTTTTTCCTTTAGGTACTTACCGTAAATGCCATATTTAGGGTGAGTACGATATATGTGATGATAATAATTGGTGGTGTTTCAACTGTGATTACTTTTTGAAAGTTCGGTTGTAACCTTTTGTACATAATAGAACTATTTTTATTTATATTGTATCGAATCAAAGAATTAATTGTCTTGAACAAATTTATTTTAACAATATTTCACTATCACAACTAATTTATATTCAACACTTAGCAACTTACTCTTAATTTATCTTCACTATTTGAATTCCTTCTTTAACCGCTCGATTCGCTTTCTGAATTCTGAATTCTGGGGATGAGAAGCCGGCTTATATTACATCTATTTGATAAACATGATCCTATCAGCAGGTTATATTGTAAAAAGAAATTTCTGCCTTACGTCACATACAACCTCAAGCTCATGATGCAAACCAGGGATAAGGCTCATAAAACATATTTAACTTTGAGAACACCGGCTTCAAGGAAGTATTATATAACTCTACGGAATGACGTTAATGACGCTCTGAAACGCGAAAGAACAGCATATGCAATATGTTCTAAACAAAAATAAAAAAATTCTAAAGCAATTTGGAAAATTCTGTCATATTGGGGCGTGAATACAAAGCGTTCCTCACAAATCAACAGTCTACCGTAAGAACTGCGTAATCCAGAAGAAATTAATAACTTTTTTTTTAATGTTATCGGAAATTCTACAATTAACAGTGATACCTCATTAGTAATGAAGTATCACTGTAAAAGTAGTAACAGATTCAATATCAATGTAAGTTTCTCGTTTATGGAAATATCCAATAAGGATATCTTTGAAGCTATAAATAAAATCAAATGCTTTCGGTATCGATAATATCAATATCAAAATAATTTTATTTATTATTCCACATTGCATGAGTCTCTGAAGCAAGGCATTTTTCCTGATCTTTGGAAAATTGCTAATATTTTACCCACTTCCACAATACCTATACCCACATCTTTCAACGAGTTACGTCCAATAAGTATTTTACCAGCATTCTGAAAATTTTTTGAAAAAATGATAACACAACAAATCAAAGTATATTTGGATACAGCTAACATACTTCTAGATGTGCAATCTGGATCTGGATCTGGAAACACGGTACCAACACCGCTCTGTTGAAGGTTATCAATGATATCACTACTTCTCGGGACAAATCGATGGTCTCATCTTTGGTTATGCTTGATCAAAGCAAAGCATCTGGTGAACTTCAAACTATTGCTGAGTAAACTGCAATACATTGGGTTTGAATGTAGTTCTTTAGATTGGGTGAGAAGCTATCTCATAGGAAGAGCTCAACGGGTTATTCTGGATAATGATCAATTATGCTCATCTCTTCAGGAAACTTCTTCTGGTGTACCACAAGGTGGCATTCTAGGTCCATTAATGTTCTCTCTTTTCATTTTTGACTTTCCTGCCACGTTATCCCAGTGCGACGTACATTTATATGCTGATGATTTTCAATTATATCTGTCAAGTCAATCTAATAATATTTACCATGCTATCACCAGGATGAACTTAGATTTAGAAAATACATTTCTATTTTCCAAAAATCATGGCCTTCGAATTAATCCAAATAAAACAGTAGCCCTATGTTTGGGATCTGATCTACAAAGAAATGAAGTTGAAACAAATTTTCATCTTTTTCTTGACAATGAACCGATTGACTGGGTGAGTTCAGCAAAAAATTTAGGGGTATATATTGATAACAATCTCTCGTTCAACGAGCACGTTAAACACATTTACAAAACTTGTTTTTTTAAACTGAAATCCTTATACAAGTTTAAGTTCCAGCTTTCTCAAGAAACAAAGCTGAAATTAGTTCAATCATTGATTTATCCCCATATTGAATATTGCAGCTCAGTGTATTACAACTTCTTGCCAGACTATAATAAACACAAACTTCAACGTATACAAAATGCTTGTATGAGATTTGTGTGCTGCATAAACTACCGTAATCATGTAACTCCATATTTATTGAAATTAGATCAGCTGAATATTGAGTTTAGAATTCGTTATCTCATATCTGTATTCTTATATAAACTATTGGAAAGCAAAACTCCTAATTACTTGTTCAGATTACTTAGTAAGCGATCTGATAATCATTCTATCAATTTAAGAAAAGATACATTTACCATTCCATATCATGTTACNTCACCTAACTCCAAACCAAATTTCGATATCATAGTACTTCTTAACTAAAAGATATCGGCATTTTTAGAAGTCATGATTTTCGAAGAAAAAAATTGAAATTAATTTTTATTTCGAAAATGGTAACAGATAGGTATAGGGAAATATCAAGAAAAGTTGTCGAAGTATCTAAATAATTTATTACCGTATATTTATTTGTCTATATATCAATTCAATAAAACTAAGATGTTCAAAAATGATTGTAATATTTTATATTATCTCCATAATAGGTTTTTTTTATATTATTTTTGTGTCTATTGTAACTGTTACAAGTGCCGAAGTTAAACTTCATTGAAACTTTTCGAAAAAAAAGTTTCCCATATGGTGCGCATTTTAATGGTGACACTGTATATAGAACACAAGCACCGAACATTTGCAACTCCAAATGGAAAAAGACGTTTCAAAAATTCCAAAACTGTGATGGATGATGCTGATTTGGCAATTTTACGCAAGTGCATAATCAACTTCCCTATCAAATAGAAACGAGTTTCTGCGCTTAGAAAGACTCATAAAGCTCTCTCATAGGAGATATTTCGATAGAGAAATGAAAAAAATAACAGAAAAATATTGATAAAACGCCAGCCTTTTCGACTACTTATCATAGAAAACAAATTGGCAGAATGCCAACGACATCGACTAAAATAACCGATAGACAGTCATGGTTATCGAAACAATAGAAAACGTATCAACAATTAGTTTATAGCAGACCATTATTCAGAACTTGATTGAACACATTCCATATATTTGTAATATAGTGGCAGGTGTTAGTAACGATTTTGTTAACATTCAATTGT